GCATCCACCGCCAACGTTTGGGCTACTCTTGTTTAACTCAATCGTGAGAATTTGACAGTCACTTATATAACGCACTAACGGCTCCAAAGTGAACCACGCTTATTTTTTTCGGTAACAGGACACAAACTATGAACCTTCGAATTCACAGTCCGAGTATTCCAACTACTAAACCACGCACTATTCCCCCACCCCCTTTAAAAGGAGCTACGAAAGATGGGCTGAGTAATGATTACGCTGTTAGAACTACATAGTATTATATTGTTGAATATAAGTATCCCAACTAAAAATGTAAAACATTTATTTGCAACCGTTAACACTGGTAAAACGAAAACAATGAATTTGATGTTAACAATGACACCACCATGTTCGTTGATGACATTGTTAACCCGGCGAAACGTTGAATGCAGTAATTTGCTTTGTTAACCAAATTATCGTGCTCGTTGATGACATTGTTAACACTGCGAAACGTTGAGTGTAATGATGTGCTGTGTTAACCATAAAATCATCGTGCGCATTGATGACATTTTTAACCCCGGGGAAACGTTAAGTGCAATGGTTTTCTTTTGTGGTTTTTTAATGTTAGCCATAAAAAGAATTAATAAATCGTGTTATGTCAGACTTCGGTCCATTGATATTGAAAAATATCGGCATACAAAACAAAGCTTTATCTAAGCTCTTTGAATTAAGCCTTTGTTTCAACGATGAACAATAAAACGAAACGTGGGTGTAATTATGCTACCATATTACGATTAAGCTACTTAATAAGGTGTAAAAAGTCCACGTTAATAAAGTTTTATCCGAACTACTTGAATTAGGTATTTGTTTCAATGTAGAAAAAATTACATAAAAAAGGTAAGTAAAATTTAGGCTAAAGACGATTCTTCGTTGGTTAGACAAGAAAATTCGTAAAATTCAGGAGTATTAAAGTTTTGGTTCCGTTGCTGTTTATTAAAAGTTTTTAAATGTTTTGATGACATATGTTACCCGAAGATGCCACGTTTAATATAAATCTGTTTGAAAAGCTCGGATATTGCGTTGCTGCAAAGCACAGAGTGTTAACCATTATTTGTCCAAAGTCTGTGTGTGTGTTCACTTATAACTGACGAACCGCTGGACCGATTGTCGCCGAATCTGTTATAATGTGACGAAAAAACATCAGTAGTTGTTAGGCTATATGAAATGTATCAAAAACGGTCCATAATTTCCTACACTTTGTCACAGATTTCTCTTCGTCTCAAAAAGTAAAAAGCAAAATTGAAAGATCTTAAATATTCGAATTAAAATTTCATATCTTCCAATTAATTGTTTGTTTTTAATTTTCGCGCCAAGTTACACGAGAGCTATCTGCGCTAGCCGTCCCTAATTTAGCGGTGTAAGACTAGAGGGAAGGCAGCTAGTCATCACCACCCACCGCCAACTCTTGGGCTACTCTTTTACCAACGAATAGTGGGATTGACCGTCACTTTATAACGCCCCAGGGATTCGAGCCCGCGACCCTCAGATTGCGAGTCGAGCGCCCCCTAACCACCTGGCCATGCCGGACCTCTTCCGTTTGAAGAACGTGTCCTTTTACATCATTAAAAAGAATCAAGAAACCTTCTCACTTTATGAGGGATGAGATAAAATATAAAACCCTCCATTTTTTGGAATTTCTTTTTCATAAAAGTAGAAAGAAAAAAAAAGAATAAGGCACAATTCCAAGCCATCGATTTCTCGGAGTTGTTCACACCATACACAGCGAGCCAACATTCAGGGGAACTTCTATTTCAGAGTAGTATCTTCACTCCGGAATGAATAATCGAGAATTCGATGCCATTCGTTTGTTAGTTTTGTCTTTATATGTCATAAAGTATGAACAAGGATTGAAATCGTTCGATTAACAAAGATGTCTCTTAGCCTTGTGAAGAATAAACCAACATTAAATTAGCCCCAAGTTAAAAGTCCCCCGTATTTTATCTTTCTTATTTTTCAATAACTTACAAGACGATAATAACATATATTATATCATTCGTCAGTATTTAGGTCATACGAATTTATAACGTGGTCATTATGGTTTTCTTAGTGCAAAGCTATAAACAATGGGCTATCTGTCTGCACTCTGAAGACACCAAAAATGCTTAAGCCATGCTTCATTTTCGTTAGGCTTGATGGTTCTTTTAACTTTAACAAGAGGAATTAACGATTTGATTTCAGTTAAAACGAAAACATGATTCTTCTGTCATACTTCCAAAGTTTAGATTTTTGTATTCTTACATATTCCAGAACTTTCGTTACTATTTTAATAAGTAATTCAAGCGTAGTACTTGATTGAACGATAAGTTTATGGACTTAGACTTACAACGCTAGAATTCGGGGTTAGATTCCCAGAGGTGTACAGAGTGCTCACTGTGTATAGCTTTGCGCTAACCGCCATCACTACCACCAGTTGATTTAATCAAACTTGTAGCAACCTATAGTGTTGAGAATCATGACGTGTTAATAAAACAGATACGCCAAGCTGTAGAATTCATTAACAATCAGTCCCTACAAAGTTTTCGTCTGTAGACGAACTATGTATCAGAAATCTACAAATAAAACATTTTCATCGGAGATAGAATATCTCTATATTATTATTGGACATGAGATAAGCATATTGTGATATTAATGTTATTTACTTATCTTCGGTGCGTGTGTTAATATTGTGGTCGGTAATGACGCCATTAAAGAGACACAGACACAAGCCTTGTATCGTCATCTAGCTGGTAAAATACTTGATAAACACGCGCGCACGTACCATGTACAAACACTTGCCTACACTTGTTTCTTTATACATGCTTGTTTCGAATAAGTCATTCATTCATGATAATTAGCATGTATAATTATGTTTATTGAATCTAGTACGCAGGTTTTAACTTATAATTATCTTTGTCTGTAAGATAA